ACTGGACAGTGTCCTCGGGTACTGGACTGTGTCCTCGGGTACTGGACAGTGTCCTCGGGTACTGGACTGTGTCCTCGGGTACTGGACTGTGTCCTCGGGTACTGGACTGTGTCCTCGGGTACGGACCGTGTCCTCGGGTACGGACCGTGTCCTCAGGTACTGGACCGTTTCCTCAGGTACTGGACCGTGTCCTCAGGTACTGGACCGTGTCCTCAGGTACGAGACCGACACAAGGACCAGGTTCTGTTGGAGCCCGTGTGGATTCTCAGTTTGGACTCTTTTAAGAGCAGCTGAAGACCGTCCCTGACGGAGCGTTTCAGGTGTAAACTGTCGGTTCACTGATGAACAACGTGACTTTTACTGATCCTGGCTCAGAAACTTGTCCAGATAAAAAACGTTGCGGGTACAAAAGATGATCAGCTGACGCTCGACTCGTTCAAAAATAAAAACTTTGAATAAAGTCAAAAACTGAAGGTGGGACGATCCGTTCGGGTCTGGGGTGAGGCCTCGCTTTGGGTGGAGGAGTTCAGGACCGGGACGGATCTGAGCCTCATCTGCAGTAACGAGGGCGTTGCTCCGGTCCGTCCCGGTGAAGAGGCAGCTGAGCTGAACAGCAAAGCTCTTGATTTACTGATCTGTTTATTTTCTAACCCTCTGAGCTCCAGACTGAAAGGAAGAGCTGCGGAAATGGAAGTTAGAGATTGAACAGAGCTCACGACTTTGTTTATAATCGATGGTTCCCCTGTCATTATCCAAGCAGGGCGCCCCGCCCTGTCAACAGAACCGAGTGCCTGCTCAACCCCCCCATCGACAGCTGCCGGCACTGATGTAGCGCTAAGCTAGCGGCGCGCAGTACAGACGCGCTAGCTAACGAGCTACAGCGCTCAGTTCCCTCATGCTGAGCCATAAAGTATTTTCATCTCGTGTCGTTTTACTCAACGTGTTCGTAGACGCTCCTGACATTTGTCTGAACTCGTCACGATCAGATACGATAAAACTTTAATGGTTCAAGAACCATTTTTGTCTCAGATCAAACTGAAAGTGTTTTTTTTTTTATCCTCGTCCTAAACGTGAGGCTCGTTGGGACGAAGCCTTGGGACGAGTCATTTCAAATGTTTCAGGAGCCTGAGCGTGAGCTGGGAGCTGACGCTGTGCGACCTCTCGGGGCGGCAGAGCACGTTCGAGCAGAGCGCGGTGCGTTTCTTCAAGTCCTCGTTGGTCCTCACCTGGAGCCGAGGCTTCCACGTCAGACAGTATCAGATCAGCAGCATCCAGCTGTACGGCGTCAGGAACAAGGCGTCCACGAGCACCAAAACCAGGAAGTAAGAGACGCCTCCTCCCATAACGTTCATCTCCTTGGTACTGGGGGGGCTCCGGGTCCTTGGTTTGTGTTGTGAAAATCACGATTCTCCTCCTCTTCCTCCAGGCCCGGCTGGCGCTCTCAGATCTTAGACCTGGACGTGAAATCCTCTCCCTGTCGCTTCATCGGTAAAGACCGGCTGATCAAAGTTCTGCTGCTGCAGCCGGGCGTCGTCGTCGGCATCTGGAGGGTAAACAGAACGTCTGATGCTTCCAGGAGTTTGGACCAGTGGACCGCCTCGGTTTGAAAAGTGTTCTGTGTTTTAGGGTCAGAACCAGGTGGCCTTCATCATGATCAGCCTGCATTTCCATAAACTGGTGGAGAAGAGTCTGCTGGGGTCTCCAGTCTGGTTCGTTCGTGAAAAATCAAATTAAACTGACGTTTAGTTTTAATGGAAGCGTCGAAAGACTTGTTTGTTTTTCACGGTTTGTGTTCTTTTTGTCCCTTCCTGCAGCCCGTACTCCGAGCCCGCAGACCCTCCGCCTGCTGGGGACTCGGACCCCGAGCTGGGTCTTCACGGCTACACTTTGGACTTTGTCCTGCACAACACCGGCACTGAGATCATGTCGGGTCACTTCCGCCAGCTGTCCTGTAGCAAAGGTAATCTGATTACAGAGCCCAGCAGGATTACACACTCTGATCATCATTACCTCTGATGTAAAGTAATAATAAATATTTTACTGAAAGAGTCGAGCGAGGATCAAAAACAAAACCGTTTCAATATAGGAAGTGGATTTCTGGACCTCTGTCTCTAGATCACCTTTGATTGGTTTATTCTCATGGGCAGCTGTGGCTGACTGGTTAGAGCAGTTGTCCTCCAGTGGGAGAGTTGTGGGTTCAATTCCACCAGCAGTCGCATGCTGAAGTGCCCCTGGGCACTGAACGCCTCACAGCTGCGAGTGTCTGTGAGATGATGTGGAAACGGGTTCCCTCCAGGTTTGATGGAGTCTTTGCCTCAGCTGGAGGAGTTCAGGTATCTGGATGTCTTGGTCCTGAGTGACGGCAGGACGGAGCGGGAGATGGATCGACGGTTCGGGGCCTCATCCTCAGTAATGAGGGCGTTGCTTCGGTCGGTCATGGTGAAGATAGTTTAATCAGAAGGCGAAGCTCTCTGTCTACAAGTCGGTGTAAGTTCCAACCCTCACCAGTGGTCATGAGGTTTAGCTCAGGACCCAAAGGACCAGATCCTGGATCCAAGCAACTGAAATGTCCTTTGTAGGGTGGGGGTGGGGCACAGCCTTAAGAGATGTGGTGAGGAGCTCCATCATCCAGGGATAGCTTGGAGTAGAGCTGCTGCTCCTCTACATCAGAAAGGAGTCTACTGAGGAGGTTCTTGTTAGGACGCCTCCCTCTGGAGGTTTTCCAGCATGTGTCTGTGGGCAGAGCCCACATCAGGCAACATCTGCACACAGGTTGATGCCGACACAACTTCTGGTTTCAGCCAACTCGTCTTTTTGCCTCTTGTGTCCTGACTTGTTGTGTGACTGTACCCAGTTCAGGTCTGTGGACTCCTGGAGCTGAGCGTCATCGACGGCGCAGACGTGTCGCAGCACCGAGGCCTTTCTGGAAGCGTCAGGCTTCCCTGGAGCAGCGACGAGATGGAGGGTGCGGTGGAGGTAACTCTGCGTTTGGGTTCTGGTTCTGTACAGGAAGTAGAAAAAGGGACACAGAAGGTGCAGCTCTTCAGAAAATATTCAGCTTGACTCATTTAATCAATGTGTTCCAGATTTAATAATCATTTTAGCAACAAACAAACAAAACAAGTGTTTCCTCTACATCACTACCCGAGTCTTGACTGGGAGCATCGCTTTGGAAAATGGTGCCACAAAGAATTGTGGGAAAGAAAAGGAACAATTCAGTGATTGTCATGTTTCTGGGCTATTTCTCTTTGAGGAACCTTTACTTAAAAAGTTTCCATCAACCCCCCCGCCCCCCAGGCGAACTCAGTGCCGCCTGTGTTTGACAGAGAATTTTTCCACATTTTATAATTCAGTGATTTCTTCTGAAAGGCTGATTTTATTTATTTGGTTGTTTTGGCTCTCCTGAAATCAGAATGTTACCAAGGCAACCTGCTGCTGTTACACATCTGAGCCACCAAGGTAGTCACAGGGCTGAACTGGTCAGGACGGGGTCTGTCCGACACGCTTGGTGTGTGTTGCTCCTCGTCAGTGCAGCTGGGTTAAACTCCGCCCCTCCACTGGTTCTGGATCTTGTATAACTTCTGCTTCAGAGAAGAACTCGACTGAATTACAGAGATGTGATCCATACAAGGTTTTGACTGGACGGAGAAACGTGTTGGTAAAGTAGAAGCCATGTACATATCGGGGGGGGGGTGTCTAGTCTGGTCCTGCTGCATGTTTTAGAAGTTTCTCTGCTCCAACACACCTGATTTAAATCAATGGGTGATGATCCAACCAATGAATTGGGTGTGTTGGAGCAGGAAACCAGTAAAACATGCAGGCCAGTGCCCCCCAGGACCAGGATAATGGCCCCCCAGGACCAGGATAATGGCCCCCCAGGACCCAGATAATGGCCCCCCGGACCAGGATGGCCCCCAGTACCAGGATAATGGCCCCCAGTACCAGGATAATGCCCCCCAGGACCAGGATAATGGCCCCCCCGGACCAGGATAATGGCCCCCCGGACCAGGATAATGGCCCCCCAGTACCAGGATAATGCCCCCC